CTGTGTCCACCCGTCACCTTCACCCCTCCGGTGGGCGATGGCGAGTGCGCAGCCGAAAAAGGCAGGCATGCCGTTCGGTACTTCGGTTCATTACGGACACCCGTGTTCGGTTAAGTTGTGGTGACCCAAGACGTACGTGCGACGTCGGGAATGAGTCGCGGCGGTAGAGGCGGAAGCACAAGCCATCTTTCAGCCTGTGTCGCTGCCTTATCCTGGTTGTAATATCAGAAATTTGTATCTCTGTGCTAGGATGGTCTAGCTCATGGCTGTAATCCTGTAGATTTCGTCCAGGGCGTTTGCCAGGAACACGTTGTTTGTACCAAACATTCCTACCTAATTATAAAGATAAAGATGCACGAATCTTTTGAGTATGGGAGAAAAAGGAGACTTCCGCGAGCGCTCACGAGGCCACTCGCACGTTTCGTCGCTTGCCTAGCAGTACCCGTACTAGCAGCTAGGATCTCTTTGTCTGCACCGCACGGGCAACGGCCAAACGCTAGCTAAAGACGTGTCATCTCCCCCTCCTCGCCGCCGGAGCCTCTCGCTGACGGTCTGTTGCTTCCTGCTTGGTTAGCTCGCCACAACCGCAACAGTGACGGCCAGCCAGCTCGCGCGCGACGCGGATGGCACGTACGAACGGATCGGGTCGGGTCGCCATGGCCATCACAGTCTGTCAGTCGCATGCACCGCATCGCCATCTAGGTCGATCTCATGTGTACTTGTTGCCCTCGTTTGGACTTTCCGGTAGATGCGATGTCAAGAATTTTCTTTCTTTGCATCAAACAAACGGCAAGCTCCACACGATTAATTTCGTCGACTGAGATTGTTGTAAAACAAGGTCGATCGGGAGATAGATTAATTGTGGCCACAGTGGTGCTCTGGTTTCTGCAGGCTTTGACTTCCGATAGACTGCCTGTGCTGGTGGAAGACAGGGAGTGGTAGAACCCGCACAGGCCAGACAGGCGCGTCCCTGTGGCGTGGCAGCAACGTGCCAGCGACCGTCGTCTCGTCGCCGGGTGGAGCGGATTGGACTGGCGGCTGGCGCTGGTGAACGGGGCCGGGCGACCGTGCGACCGAGCTGCATATATTAGTCGTCGCACGCGCGGGCCAGCTTATACCATGTTCGTTTAGGTTTATTTGACTTATAAATCATACTTTTTTAGCCAACGAATAATATTTTTCTTTCACACCAAATCAGCCAACAGTACTTTTAAACATAGCTTATCAGCTAAACAAGTCCAAGCGAACAGGGTGTTAATTAATTCGACCGTGTGTCACGGTTCTACATAAGCAGGTCAACAGAGTCCTCTTGGTCAACCTAATTTTTTTTCTGGTTCGTACCGGTGTTAAGACAGCTGAGAAAAAAAATCATGTACTAGGATCATCAGTAGTAGTAGTAGTACAACTGAAAGTTAGGGCTGAACCTCGAACGTCGTCCTAGAGTCATCGTACGAAATTTTCAAAAAAGTTTCAGACGACTAGGACATCCGACGCTGAAAAATCACAATAATATATACATGATTCTCTGACCCCATTTCCGTTTTCACGGTGGTTCGCGCGATTCGACTATGGCGCACGAGAGACCGCGTCCGCGCGGACTCGTAACTTTTCTTTTCGGTCCTGTTTCTTTTCTGCCCTTTCCTTTACACGTTCTCAAACATTGTCCTAGAGTTATCGTACGAAATTTTCAAAAAAAATAAAAAATCCGACGACTAGGGCATCCGAGGCTGAAAAATCAGGATAATATAATAAGAATACCTATATATATGAGCCTATGACCACCGGGTGAATTGGAGCGACTGACTACACATTTGCATTGGACCCAAACTGGAACCACAGTTTTTGCTTTCTTCCAACAACTTGTAAGTTGGAACTCGATCACAGCTTGGCATCATCGCTGGCTTCAATAAACCGAACAGATCTCAAATTAACGTGCTCTTAGCTTTTGGGCCTTTTCGCTTGAACTTATCAGCCGACTTATCAGCTAGAATCTACAGTATTTTTCTCTCACAGGAAAACAGCTTCAGCCGTCTTATCAGTTGCCTTTAATATCAGCTGGCTTTTACCCTACTATACTAGTGCGTTGGAACCAAAGCAGCATCACAGCCGATGCGTTGTTCTACACAGTCAGATCGACCCTTATCCTCTGCAGTTTTGCATGTAATTGGTATTGGCGATCTACGTGGTTGCCACGACACAAAGACTCTGTCCTTCAATGTTGGAGGGAGCACTAGCCACTAGCTAGAGCAACTGATCCAGGGAACTAGCAAGCGACAACTTCTCTTTTTGCCGTGTATCATTGCACGGATCGCCCCCCGGTAGTGGCCATAGCAAACACCCTGTTTAGCAATCTGTACAACTGAATCATAGCTCCACTTCTTTTAGGATCTATTTCTTCGTTGTCAACCCCCTCCCACTGAGCGAGGATAAAGCCACTTCTTGCTTTTTGTCACATGAACCATGGGACGACTCCATACTCAACCCAAGTCAACACATTGCCGTGATATCCGTACCGTGGCCACCTCCTTTGTCGTCGTATGTGTGTGTACTTGAGGCCACTAAGCACGAGATAGTTGCTTTGCACACTTGGTATACATGGATGCTTCCTTAATTAACAGCTAATGACATGTACTGAAGACTGGACAGAGTAGTTGAATCTCTGGTCTCTGGTCTCTGGTCCTCTTCTATGTATAATTGAGTGAGTAACACTGGGGGGATAAGTTCGGCACAGTAATTCAGAGTTGAATCCATAGCAATAAGGTTACATATAACATTAGTAATATACTAACATAGGCTTATTACTCATTAGAAGTTTATATTTTTCTTTCTTGGGTTACAAACAAATGACATCTATCTGCAGCTAAAAGAAGTTATTCTCTGATATTATTGAAGCCATGTAAGTCCATTTGCACAACAAAAGGTCATATATAGGTACATATGTTCATGTTTGTAACCAACTAGCTAGGTCAGAGTGATCTTATATATGTAAAGGGCTATTCTTCAAACAGAGGTTTGAGAAAGATGGGTTGTTTTAGTGTCCTTAGAAGGTAGGTTGTTTATTAACTAAATCCATAGAAAATAATCTCTTTCATTAAACCACGTAGGTAGTGAAGTGCTTAATCTTGAGTTGAAATTCTAACCAAAACCGACCATATATGTATGGATGCTTCCTTAACAGTTAGGCCCTGTTTGGTTCCAAGCTCCTAAAATTTTTAGCAGCTAAAAGTTTTAGAAACTTTTACCGAGGCTGCTAAAACCTCCTAAAAGAGTGTTTGGTTTCATCTTCTAAAATTGACTAAAAGCAGTAAATGCACTAGCAAATAGACCATGCAGCCTCCTCTAGGAGAGAGAGAGAGAGAGAGAGAGGGGGCAGGGCAATAAAGGAGGGGTAGTGGGGGTCTAGGATGGACTTTATGAGCTTTTAGGATGGAGTGGAGCTCCTAAAGTTTTTGGCCCCTCCTAAAGTTTTTAGAAGCTTTTAGGAGGAGGTGTTTGGTTCTTTAGGCAAATTCTATCTAGATTTTAGCTCCTAAAACTTTTAGGAGGGGAAACCAAACAGAGCCTTAGTATCACACCGATGAAGAGTAAATGTGGGACAAAAGAGCTGGACATATATATATGGTCCCACTGATAGAAGGTTGAGTGAGTTCAAGTGTGGTAGTTGTTGGATCACAATAACTTGGGTTCATGATGAATTTGAAGAAGCCAATAGGTGACAGACATATGACATGCGTAACATATGGTTATTCAGAAGATTATCGTACTCTCTAGGGTTATTACAAACAAACAAATGAAATTTCTCTGCATCAAACAAACCCCTTACGTGGTGAAATTATATATGCTCAGTCTTGAGTTAAAAAAAAAAACAAACCGTACCATCGGTGCACGGATGCTTCCTTAACCGTTAATACACTGATAAAAAGTGAGGATGAGACAAATTAGAGGAGGTGGATACACATATCATAGAAGGTTGAGTGAGTTTAACGGTGATAGTTGTTGGATTGGATGGCAGTAACTTGGACTAATTCATGATGAATTGGTACAAAAGCTAATAGGTAACGTACATATGGCATGAGTGACATAGGTTATTCACAAGGCTACGGTACTTCTCTAGTGTAGGGTTAAAATGCAGTGTCCTTGACTTTTTTTTGAAGAAAAAAAAAACAGACGGGCCCAATAAGCAACCTCACCAACAAGCCCAGCCATGTGTCCTCCGTTGACGGACGCTGATGTCAGGTCTATCTCGCGGACCAGCAATAAATACCCGTCCCAAGTCCCCCAGCCTGGAGGAGATAACATCCATCAGTCGAGGCCGCCGCGAGCCGCGACGGGTAAGACCCGCGAGGTGAGCACTTGAATTGAGATCCCAAGTGGAGTTCCCTTCCATTCCATCCCCTCGTCACCAACTCATCAGCGTCAACCGATGATCCTTTTATCTGCACGCGTGCCTGCCGCATCGCCGTCCGCGGGCGAGGTGGCCTATTTCTGGACGTGCTTCCGCGCTGACCCGATCGATTCATCGATCTTCTCAGCTGGTGCCTGGTGGTTGAACGCTGCTATACTCGCTGCACTGCTCACGGCGACGTAGCAGCACAGCAGTGCATATCTAATCTAGCAGACGTGACAGTTACTAGCTAGTGGCCATACATTGGTTCTCGCGGCTAGGGTCCAGTGCCAGCCGCCAGTCGCTAGCTGTGGCCCGCGCAAGGACGCATATTCCCGGCTCGGCTGCGCTGCGCCAAATATCAGTCACTTCACTCCCGCCGTGCCGTGGTTCTGCGCGCGACGATTACCATTTTAACACCTAGCAGCTAGTTTGTTGTTGTTGTTGCTGTTGACGATGCTTCTCTGTGCTCCGGTTTTGCAGGATCTAGCTAGGCAGCCAGGAACAAGCTAGGCCCCTCGTCCCGGACCACGCAGATCGCACGAGCATTAGCCAAGTCTTCATCGATCGCCGCCATCTTGCCGCCGGCCGTTACGTACGGTTCCCCTCGACGACCATGACGCTTGCGAGCACGGACAAGGTGGTGCTGGGATGCATCGCGTTCACCGTCTTCTGGGTGCTGGCCGTGTTCCCCTCGGTGCCCTTCATGCCCGTGGGCCGCACCGCGGGCTCCCTCCTGGGCGCCATGCTCATGGTGCTCTTCCGCGTCATGACCCCCGAGGATGCCTACAAGGCCATCGACCTCCCGATCCTGGGCCTCCTCTTCGGCACCATGGTGGTGAGCATCTTCCTGGAGCGCGCCGACATGTTCAAGTACCTCGGCAGCGCGCTAGCGTGGCGGAGCCGGGGCAGCAAGGACCTGCTCTTCCGCGTCTGCCTCGTGTCCGCCGTCGCCAGCGCGCTCTTCACCAACGACACCTGCTGCGTCGTGCTCACCGAGTTCATCCTCAAGCTGGCGAGGCAGAACAACCTGCCCCCGCAGCCGTTCCTGCTGGCCCTGGCCTCCAGCTCCAACATCGGATCCTCCGCCACGCCCATCGGGAACCCGCAGAACCTCGTCATCGCCGTGCAGAGCGGCATCACCTTCGGACAGTTCCTCGTCGGCGTCTTCCCGGCCATGATAGTCGGCGTCGTCACCAACACCTGCATCCTGCTCTGCTACTTCTGGAGGTACCTCTCCGTGCCGGAGAAGGACCAGGAGGGCGGCGCCGCCGAGAGGGGGCACGAGGTCGTGGCCGACGAAGAGGTCACCTCGCACAGGTTCACGCCGGCAAGGATGTCGCACGCCTCCTCCGTCAACGGCGGCCTCGGCATCGACGCCGACTGCGTCAGCGAGCCCATTCGACGGACCGACAGCCTCAACAGGGCCGACACGCTCAGCATGAGGAGCCGGAGCTACAACTCGGAGGGCGACATCCAGGTTGCCATCAGGTCCATGCGCGCGTCCAGCATGGCGCAGGAGATGGTGGAGGTGTCGACCGTCTGCGACAGGCGCGACGACGGCGGTGGCGTCGGGCCCAGGAAGATCACAAGGACGACCAGCCACCAGCGCAGCGTCATCATCGAGGACGCGCCCGAGGCTGACGCCGACGATGGCCACAAGGGCAAGGACGGCGACGACGTGAAGGCGAAGAGATGGAAGGTGCTCGTGTGGAAGAGCGCTGTGTATCTCACCACACTTGGGATGCTCGTCGCGCTTCTCATGGGGCTCAACATGTCCTGGTCTGCCATCACTGCTGCTCTCGTCCTCCTCGCACTTGATTTCACTGACGCACAGGCTTGCCTGGAGAAGGTACTGTAACTGTACTCCTTCCTACTAGATCATTATTGCCATTTTATTTTCCTTTAGCCATGCATGATGCCAGGCCTTGTTTAGATTGCAAGTTTTTTCACTCTCTCTCTATCACATCAAATCTTTGGACACATGCATGGAGTATTAAATATAGATAAAAAAAATAACTAATTACACAGTTTGATTGTAAATTACGAGACGAATCTTTTGAGCCTAGTTAGGCCATGATTGGACAATAATTATCAAATACAAACGAAAGTGCTACAGTGCCAATCAGGGTTCAAAATTTCGGCCGAATTTCACGAAATTCGGTAATTTCGGTGGTGACCGAAAGAAAACTCTGAAATTTTTTAATACACTAATACATGTGCTATATAACTCTAATCTTATATTTTTCTATTGTTTATATTGCATATTCTTCTATTTAATAGATATGTAGTCATAAATCATACTAATATTTGTTTATATCCAAAAATTTTTAGAAAAAACATACTTCATGTGCTAATCTCTAAAAAAAATTCGGTGAAATTTCGGCCGAATTTCACGAAATTCGTTAATTTCGGTGGTGGCCGAAATTTTGGCGATACCGAAATTAAAAACCTTGGTGCAAAATACTGATTCCTAACCCTAATTTAAACAAGGCCCTGATGACGATGATTTGCGCTCGCTGCAGGTGTCATACTCTTTGTTGATCTTCTTCTGTGGGATGTTCATAACGGTCGCCGGCTTCAACAGGACCGGCATACCCAATGCGCTCTGGGAGCTGGTCGAACCGCATTCCAGAATCGACAGTGCCAAAGGCACGGCGCTTCTCGCGGTCGTGATTCTTGTTCTTTCAAATGTGGCCTCAAATGTTCCAACTGGTATTACTCCTGACACGTTGCTTACCTTTAATTTGTTTTCAAATGTTACTGATGATGCTGAATATCTGAAACTTCGTTTCAGTTCTGCTGCTGGGCTCAAGAGTGGCAGCGTCAGCAGCTGCAATCTCCCCAGCTTCACAGAAGAAAGCCTGGCTCATACTAGCATGGGTCAGCACGGTGGCCGGCAACCTCACTCTCTTGGGCTCAGCCGCGAATCTGATCGTCTGCGAGCAGGCGCGGCGGGCACAGTTCTTCGGGTACAACCTCACCTTCTGGAGCCACCTTCGCTTCGGCTTGCCGTCGACCATCATCATCACCGCCATCGGCCTGCTCATCGTGGCCAGTTACTGAACCCACACAAAGGGTCTCGGCCTCGCACTAGCTGTGTGTAGCCAGGCAGAACGCTGCAGGAAACTAGTAAACCAGAAGGAAGGAAAGAAACAGCAGTGCAAATGGTAATGTACCTGAAGAAGGAGATGTTGTACCGATAGGTTCTTTGTTGTGCTTACGTTGTAACAGTTTTTATGTTTGTGTAAGTTTGTTTCGCGCAACCGATGCCTCAAGGCGCCGGGTTGCCCATCTGCTAAGGCAAATAATGGGCAAGATTAATGTAGATGGCATGAAGTAGAGGCCGGCCCCCTGTTCTAGTTAAAAAGGCGAAAACTTGGTCTAGCTAGTTCAGGTAGGAGGGCTGGCGAGATTGTATGGTGAGTTTCTCAATTTGGTGATGTCAAGGGACTGTTGTCCTTGTGTGTGAACTTCTCTCCGTGAAGAAACAAGGTTGTGCCAAGCTGTACCTGGACTTTGTAACTTTGCACTGCGTTTGCAAAACGAAAAATGTTGCTATTTGCCTCAAGCAATGGGCACATAGGAATTCACGTGTGAAATCCGCTGAAGGACTGAATGGCGAACAGTTCAGCAAATTTTCACTTTGCACTGCGTTTGCAAAACGAAAAATGTTACAATTTGCCTCAGGCAACGGGCATAAAAAAAATACAGAAACGTCCACCGTGGGGCTCGAACCCACGACCACAAGGTTAAGAGCCTTGCGCTCTACCTACTGAGCTAGACGGGCCACGTGGGTAGCTTTTCATTTCAAATGCTAATGATTTAATCATACCTAGTGACCTACAAGTTGGACGTGGCTCGGTGGCTGTGTATGTATCTATGGATCGTCTTCGTAATTTCAAAGGCACTCTCCAGTGAAATGAAACATATCCTTCTCGATGTCATTACCGGTCGCATAGTACCTTTTTTTATGGCAGGAGGACACTCTACGACTCATAGCAGATAACTCACTGATAGCATGTGAAATGGAACATTTCATGAGACAAAGGGAAAACTTGGTAAGTTGGTATGCAACCACGAAGGTGTTAAGAGTTGATCGAAGGGCTCGATCAAAGGATCGAGTCATAACAGCATAACTGGCTCAGTTGCCGTGATCGGAGGCAATCATTTATCTAACTAGGTAAATTTTCTTGTGTGTTGCTGTGTGATTGGAGAGAACTTAAACTTCGGCTAGAAGAAGAAAAAAGATTTTAGATAAACGGTAATGCTACGTTCGTCTGCCCAAACGCTTCGGAACGGACGCTTGCAACGTACGTGTACAATCATTGCAACATGTGCAACATCACGATCTATTATTGCAACATCCATATAAAATACTTGCAACATACCTCTGAAACATCTGAAATAATTGAAACATACTCTTGCAACATGCGCTTTCAACCCAACATCTCTTTGCTGCTGGGCAGACTGGAGGCTCGTCGGTGTGTGGTGTTCACCGGAGGCTGCGGCCCGGCGGCGCTTGTAGGCAGCGGGACGGCGGCAGTGGCTGCACGTTGTGGAAGGGAGGGAGGGCACGGGTGTGCGACTTGGAGAGTGCAGCAGCACGCCGCGCCTGGCAGGGCCACAGCCAAGCGCCGTGACTCGGAGGCGGTCACGTGCCATGCCTGACAAGGCCAGCGGCCGAGTGGTGCGCCTCAGAGGTGGCCGAGCGGTGCGCCTTGGAGGGCTAGCGGCTGTGCGCTCGGAGGCGGATAAGAGCGATAGGAAGAGGAACGAGTAGATAGAAATAAGTGGATGAACAATTTTTTTTTGAGAAACGAAGGGGTGTGGGTTGTTGGGCTGACGTCTGGGTGGATGGGTGCGGAGGTACGCATGCGTGGCGGGACGAGGCAGACGGGAAAGGACTGTAGCTATACGGTGGGAGTACGACGCGTTTCTACTGGGCCATTCGGTACCGTCCGATGGAATCCCATGCCATCGAATGTCCGGACGCCAGCAATTCCCTTAGATAAAAGATCACAGAGAGCATACAACGGTACATACAGCACTCTGACTATGCCAAAAGCATGATATCGGAAGCCTATTTTTGGGCTAATGAGTAATGACAGCCTAAATGAAACTAAGACTCAATATAACATAAACGAAATGAACATTCTTAAACTGAAATTGCCATAAGATAGTCTAGAGGAAGGCCAATAACATGTTAACTAGAATAATACTTACATGAAGCATATTTTTTAAATAAATATAAGCGATGATATTTTGATTCCAAACATTTGCGATAAGGTGGCTAATTAGTTTTGACTGCATCATACATTTCAAGTAGCATGCATACCCCATTTGTTCATAGTACTGAATGCAAGATAAGATAAAACCTAAGTCTATATCGACAGAGCAGGAGGCGCAAACATGATGAAGCTCCGACCTGACGCTACTGTCTAATAAGATGATGCTACTATAGTACTATTCAAGGAGCATTGGGAGGAGAATAGATCGGAGAAGAACCTGCCAGATTTAAAAAAAAAAACAGGTTGGTGTGCAAATGTACAAATCGGAGGGAATTAGAGATTGGCATGGAGAAAATTCGCTTGGATATATATAATATATTATAATGCCTTGGTTTCCTGTGGGCGTCTGCGATGAGGAAACCAATGAATTCAGGGAAATTTACTCTGCTCGGTGGCCTCTTAACAGGGAAGCTACTCACAATTGCTTGCAAACAATAACAATCAATGGGTATTCTCTATAACGGAAAGGAGATGAGAGTAAATATGCGTCTTTTACCGTTCTTAATCTGTCTAAAATTTAGAGAAACTTATTTACTATGACACGAAGGTAGTAGGTTTTATAGATTTGTTCGTGTAGTCCGGCCACACCGTGCATAAGGGGGTCCCATGTCTAATGACAACACATTTAAGCTCTACCAATCTAGGTGACGCGGATGTAGCTATGAAGACATAGTGGCACCGGGCATTTTGCTGTTCAGGAATTACCAACACCAATGAATTGAGGAGGTTGACCATTGTAGCAAATCCATCGACGCCATGCCTGCTGCTAGGAGCAGGCATGCCCCTAAGGGCAAATCTTCATCTCCCAGAGTCCCAGGTCAATACACTATGCTGACCTGAAGGTTGACACGTGTAGAGTGGGGTGGCACCTTCTTCATGATATGACGACAAGATTGGAACTCTATGCAGATCGGATAGAATTTGTGTCAATGAAGAATTTTCGGACAGTGTTTAGCCAGAGAGAGTTTTGAGCCTAGAAGACCTGCTAACGCCATGTTTTTATTTTGTTTCATCGATCTGAGATTTAAAATTTGTCAACGGCCTCGATCTGTTGCGTCTGTGATGTCTAAAGGTGACCGAAGTCGCTGCGAATCCCGTTGAATCGTCCACAACCAACTTGATGTTGAGATCCATAGCACCCAACTGACACCGGAACCTGGTGAAGTGGCCGTGGTCGATGGCGTGCGGCTTCAAGACGCGACATCTCTGATACCAATTCTGATAATTATGTGCAGTTACTTCATAATGTTTGATGTTCAGATACACGGCGCAGGTGGTAGACTCTCCCACACGCCGTGGACCCAATCTGAGTCATAAACCTTGGCATTCCACTTGCTGGGCCTTTGCTTCCGACGTCTTCGTCGGCCCGTTCTTCAACTGACTTCGCGCCCTTGATCTCACCAGCTGCATTTCCTGGATCATCTCTAGTTCAGTACTCACAGTGGTTCTCATCTCTAGTGAAGCGGTGGGCCAGCGCGGTGGAGCTGGGCTGGCGGGCAGCGCCGAAGCAGAGTGCTGAGGCGGGCTGCAGCGCTGCGGCTCAAACAGCGGTGGCGACGCCGAGACGCGCGAATGCGCAGGGGGTGCCGTCGATGACGGCGACACGGTGGAGAACGGGTGGCTGAGACGACTTCTGCCTCACCTGGGCGTCGGGCTCTTCGACAGGAGAGGGCAGAGGCCACACGGGAACGTCGGCCGATCTCCGGCTAGGGTCCACGGCAAGACGCGCAGGGCGGCTTTTACGGCACCAGAATTCGGCGACGAGCCCACCGGAGCGGTTCTTGGCGGCAGAAACTAGGACGGCGGCGGTCCTCGCTGGTTCACAGAGAGAGGCAGTGGCGGCGCGCGATGCGGACGAGGGCGCAGCTGCGCAGGAGCCAGGAGGGCATGGGTTCTCCCGAATAGATGCGGGATAGGGAGAGAGAGGATGCGGGCCCAAGGTACTCGCGCGTAGGGGATGGAGTTGGCTCAAGCTCCCTCGGCGTGCGCGCCTACACCGTGTCGGATTCCTCGGTTCACGCCCTCGATCGGGCGCTGCTTCCTTAGTCCCTACTAACCTATGGTTGTCGGACTCGGAGAAGACGGGGACGGGTCGGGTCGGGCTGGGTTCCTCCAGCTGGCGTTGCTGCTTTACCTACGCGGTGGTTGGTGGGGAGAAGTCGAGAAGAACAGAGGCGGGCCACACCGGGCAGCGGCACAGGCGTGGGTGCGGTGCTGCTCCGCGCTGCTTGTTGATGGGCCGAGCTCACGGGCGGCTGATGGGCCGGAGGAGCCGTGCGGCGCTGGGCTTCGGCCTGCTGAGGGAGGGCGTGAGCACGGGGATGGATGGGTCAGGGAAGCGGGCTGGCGCTCACGCAGGGCTGCGCAGGGGGCTGGCGCAGCGAGCGGGCCAAACAGAAAAGGCCGGGGCGCAGTTTGTTCGCCCGGTCGAACGGGCCGAAAGCAAGAATAAAACACTGGAGGAAGTAGAAAAATATTTTTCTTTTATTTATTCTTCACCACTTTTCCAAATTGTTTTGAAACTATTGAAATTGAGAAGTCACAAACTTTAACAACATGATTTTGTAAATAAACTTTTAAAATTATTTAAAACCAAACTTTAATTTTGAAAGCCGAAACAAACTATTTGTGAGACTTTTGAAACTAAAAATTGAATATATTTTGAGCTTTTTTAAAATATATTTTAAAGCTATTTTGAAAATTAAAAGCCCTTTTATAAACATACTTATAAAACACATTTTGAAGTAAATTTTAAATATTTTTGAATTCAAACTT